ATATGAATTCGGCTCCACGCTAGCGTTACGAGCTTCCGAGTCTGTTGATGTTTCCATGGAAATTGGAAACCACATGCACCGGTGCGCACAACGCACCCTGTCCAAGCAAAATTTTACCATCGATGACCTCTGGTGACATGACCTTTTGCTCTGAACCGATCTAAAATTGGCTGAAGTATTTTTTCTTCTTTTTGCTACTTTCGACGCTACTTCGAATACCACTTAAATGCCCAAATGAGAAGAGTCAAACATTTTGTTTTTCTCACAGACAATGACTACACAAAAACAATGTAATAAGACCAGACGTTTCGACAAAAAAGTGGATATTCGTCAGTGGAAAACAAGATATAGGCTTTACATCGATAAAAATATAGATTTTTTATACTTATTATCTTCTATATTTTTTATCGATGTAAAGCCTATATCTTGTTTTCCACTGACGAAGGCACTTTGTTGTCGAAACGTCTGGTCTTATTACATTGTTTTTGTATTGTCATTGTCTGTGAGAAAAACTAACTGCCCAAAGCTGAGTTATAAGAATGATGCTCAATCCCCATTTCCCCTCCAACAGGGCGTGAAAGTCTAGGCATTCCTGTGGGGCACGGGCTAACAATGACTATCTCATAATCATTGTGGCCATGAACATCTACTGCCATTCTTTAACACCGGTTTCACTGCGCTGAGTGGTGGCCGTCTCGTTTGTTGGATTCTACAGCTGGCTGGCGGAAAGCGTTACCGGCCGCCCGTCCACCGCCCGCGGGCCGGACCGAGCGGTCCCGCTGACCCTACCTGACCTGAGCCCGGCGCGATATGGGACGGGCAGACGGGGGTTCGGCTCAGCGAAGGCAGCGCCCACTGGTGCTGGGGACTTTTTTAATAGACCTACTGTACGGTAGGGGGAGCGTCAAGCTTCCGAGCCTGATGACTCCGTTCTCGTCGTCGATAACTGTTTTCTCGCGGCAGCAGAAGTCCCTTCCGAGCACCATATCATACAGCAGACCCCCAACAATCTCCACTTCCGGGCAGACGACTATCTTATCTCGTATCTCGAGCCCCAAATTACGCACCACTCCCAGCATCTGCAGCTCGTTACCTCCGGCCCCCTTTGCGAGCCGGGTGCTTGGTGAGGACTGGAGGTGCAAACTTCCCCTGATCGTGTCCCAGAAATCCCCCCTCATCATGGAAAAGTCGGCCCCGGTATCCACCAGAGCCCAAGCCTGGTGACCCGCGACCCGCACCTCTACGGCTGACGCCGTCAACCCCGCGCTGTGGGACTCTGATGGATTACGTACCGGTACTGGCCCCGTCGCACCGGTACTCACTCGTTTCCCTGTGGCTGACCCACCGCAGCTACGTGAGTGTCCCTATGCACGACCGCGGGTGTGGGAGGGCACCCTTGTCCCTGGCGTGCGGGCTGTCCCGCGGCGGGTGTACCGTAGGGGGCAGGTGGGTAACCCACCCTCCGCTGCCCTTCACGGTCGCACCCCGCTGCCTGTGTGTTTCCCCGCTGCCAGTGTCCCGTGTGTGTGGCGGGGCCCTCCATCGGCGGGATATCAGGCGTGCCTATGGCTGCAGTCGCGGGGGCAGGCGGGCACCCCGCCCATCGCTGTCCCCCACGGCTGCACCCGGGACAGAACGGCGCCCATCCGCCGGCCTCCTCAGGCGGACCACGGGGGCGTTCCGCCCACTCCAGGCCCGCCTGCTGGTAACCGGGTGGAAAGGGCCGCCCCGCCCGCTCGTTGGCCTGCGCCTGCCGCGCCGGACAGTTGCGGATCAGGTGGTCCGGGCTATTGCAATGGAAACAGCGTCGCCCCGGGCCCTGCCTGTTCGGGTTCGGTCGCCCTCGTTGGGGGTTCCTCGCCCCCGCCCCGTGCCCCGTTGTGTCAAGGCGCTGCAGGGCGCGCTGCAGGTCCCCTATGCCCCTCTCCAGCGCGTCTAGGCGATCTGTGCCCGGCGCGTCCCGGTCTCGGACTGCCAACGCCTCACCGCTCTCGTTGGGAGGGCGCATCGCTCGGAGTGCGTCCTGCTGTTGTTGGAATTTAGCGGCGACATCCATGGCCTCCATGAGGCTGGCCGGGTCCTTTGTCAGCACCCGCATCCGCAGCTGTTCGTCGCGGAGGCCGCACACGAAGCGGCTGACGATAGTCGCCTCCACGGACGGGTCACCGGCTGCCGCCCCCGGGTACGCCTCCCGGCTGGCCTGGCGCACCCTGTCCGCGAAGTCGCGAGTCGCCTCGCCGGGCTGCTGTCGGATGCTTGCCAGTTCAGCTTGTGCCTGCATTGCGTTCTTTGCCGTGCCAAAGCGGGCTTCCAATGCGGCTACTGTTTGTTGGAGATTTCCTTGGACATCCTCTGACAGCGAGGCGAAGTAATCCAGGGCGCCGCCCTGCAGAAGGCTGAGCAGGCCCTGCAGCCGTTTTTCTTCGGAAAACGCAGCCGTCTTTGCCCGGAATCGTCGGTACCATTGACCCCATGCCTGTTTGTTCTCCCCCGTGAAATTCTCAAAGTTAGTCAAAAGTAGGAATTCTCTCTCCATCTTACGTTGCTGTACTAAGGCCAATTAAAATAAATTAGATTGAAATTTACTTTAGGGGTGATGCAAGCCAATGAATGCGCGTCCGCTTGTTTCCGAACAGTCCTACCGACCGCGCCAGTTGTTCGGACGCGCATCCACCGGCAAACACCTCGGTTCAGCTAATCAATATATTTACAATGATCGTACGGTACACGCCAGCGCAATCCGCAGTCACCCCCGATTATCCCATTGGACCTCTTGTCAGCTTTCCCTCCTCGCTGCCGCCCCGGAGCTCCGACCGCCGAGCGCACCGCTCAGCGTCTGACTGCTGCCGTTTGTTTTTTTGTTTTGTTGGGTTAGGCCCTTTCGGTCGAAAAGACCATTGCAGAGCCGGAAGGATGATAGGAATTAGGGGGAGACATTGGTCTGGGCAGGCACCCTAGTGAGTCGCCGGGGCTGAGCCCGTCCAGAGGACAGGCCACCCAGCCCCAAGGCACTCACTGCACCCGGCTACGGGGTGCGCTCCCTCAGGAGCAGCGGTGCCGCTCCAAGGGAGCAGCCCGCATGAGATAAAGTTGACTGTCCAGCCCGGAGGAGGGTTGCGGCTTGGAGGAGAAGGATTTCAGTATCCTGAGGATAGAAGCACGGATAGGTGACTGCTGCCGGCGATGCACCGCCTTATATAGGGGGGCTGGGCGCCCACCGACCAATCAGCGGCCGCCGCAGCCGCCGCGTCATCACCGGCAGAGCTGCAGGATTCGCGGCCGGCGCCCGCCGCCGACTGCCGGCCGGGCGGCCGTGTGTCGCTCCCCAACAGCTGGACCTCAGCAGTTGATCTCGGTCCGACGTCGGCCCGACGTCGGCTGGACCTCGGCTGGACGTCGGTACATGCGGGCATATCCGACATCCAGCCGACGTCGTGCCGAGGCTGGACCGACGTCGGGCCGACGTCGGCATGCCGATGCCGAGTTGCCGACGTCACCCCGACGTCGGGCCGACGTCGGCATGTTTACTGGGACTTTCCTGTGTATAACTGCAGTCTCCAAACTGGTGCTACTGTCCTGTGTATAACTGCAGTCTCCAAACTGGTGCTACTGTCCTATGTATAACTGCAGTCTCCAAACTGGTGCTACTGTCCTGTGTATAACTGCAGTCTCCAAACTGGTGCTACTGTTCTATGCATAACTGCAGTCTCCAAACTGGTGCTACTTTCCTGTGCATAACTGCAGTCTCCAATGACTGGTGCTACTGTCCTATGTATAACTGCAGTCTCCAAACTGGTGCTTCTTTCCTGTGTATAACTGCAGTCTCCAAACTGGTGCTACTGTCCTGTGTATAACTGCAGTCTCCAAACTGGTGCTACTGTCCTGTGTATAACTGCAGTCTCCAAACTGGTGCTACTGTCCTATGTATAACTGCAGTCTCCAAACTGGTGCTACTGTCCTGTGTATAACTGCAGTCTCCAAGCTGGTGTTACTGTCCTGTGTATAACTGCAGTCTCCAAACTGGTGTTACTGTCCTGTGTATAACTGTAGTCTCCAAGCCGGTGTTACTGTCTTTTAACAGCTGCAGTCTCCAGTTACTGGAAATATTGTACGGTGTATAACTGCAGTCTCCAGGGACTGATGTTACTGTCCTGTGAATCGCTGTAGTCCCCAGACTGGTGTTATTGTCTTGTAAACAACTAGTCCCTAAAAGCTGCTGCTATCGTGAGCAAAACTCGGTCTACGGGGACTGGCAATCGTATGGGAGACGGGCGCATGGTGGAACCGATTCCCTTGTTCATATCACGATAGAGCAGTGTCCGTCAGTCGGCGGATCGGCCCGGTATCACGATATCACTAAAGGTCTGCTTTACGCTGACGCTGACGGATCAACACTGTCTGAGTAAACAGAACTCTCAGCTCGCCCAGTCGTCTTCTCCATTAGACTTCCACGTGTTGAAAACACCTTATAGTGCGTGCTTAGTTATATTTACGCGCAACAAGAACAGTGTGCATTTAGAGTGCAACGTGCGGTTTTTATGGGGCTTCAAAGAAGATGCCCCTAATCCTAAAGAAGGTAACAAAAGCCAGTCAGTCACATTCACCGGAACACGTCCCTTACAGGCTGGAAGCTCAAAAAGGCCCACCACAAAAAGGAACTTTTTGTGGTGGGCCTTTTCACGGGATAAAGTGCCTGGTATCCACATAGCAGTAAGCAGATACGTGGAAGTTTCCAAACTTGCTTTCAAAGCACAGCTACATTGCGCCACGATAACAAAAGTCTTAAGAAGGCAGCCTGCGACCAAAAGCCAGGCAATCACTCCTTCACGGGATAAAGTGCCTGGTATCCACATAGCAGTAAGCAGATACGTGGAAGTTTCCAAACTTGCTTTCAAAGCACAGCTACATTGCGCCACGATAACAAAAGTCTTAAGAAGGCAGCCTGCGACCAAAAGCCAGGCAATCACAACACTGAATAAATAATAAGCAACGGTAATCCACAATTCCGTTGAAAACAAGCAAGAAACGCATTCGTCTAAGGGACAGAAAATATGTTACAATCTCCCTCAAAACACACAACACTCAAAGCAACACCGGAGAAAGAGTCCAAGCCAGACCACTTGAAAAGCCTTCAATTCAAAGGTGCACGACCCAACTCTTAGCTAATTGGGGGTTACAGACGCGTAACCTACACGGACCCAGACCTCTGTCATGGACCTCAGCGGATCACAAACGAGGACCTCCCGATCGCATCCCCCCTCGGCACATTCTCTATATAGAAACACAGCTGCGCTGAGAGCGATGGCAGTAGGGAACCGGTAGCCCAACACCCAAAGACACTCTAGCCACATAGTGGGCTACCGTTGCTCAAAGCGCCGTCTCAAAGCAAAGATCCAGCATTCCCTTCACTTGAAAGGCATCTTTTCACACACCATATAAATAGGAAGTGTTAGGATAGCTTTTGCCAGTATTTTCGCCGTCAGCAGATGCAAAAGATAGCTATCACCGGCTGTGCATCCCAAACGTCTCCCTCCACATGATAGTACACACCCCAACTAACGACTCTTTCACTCGTTACGACTAGCAATTACGACTCCCTATCTTCCTCATTCGCTGGTGACCACCCTCCTTTATTACCTCCGCTTTTCTCCCTTCTTTTCAATCGCCTGCCAAACACGGCTATCGCTCCATCAGTGACTCTCTCAGCCTATAGCTGCTCCCCGTACATCGCTGTTCTTGAATACTCTCCAATCTAGTTACTGACAAGTGACAGCTCTTCCTTATCTCAATCTCTCCTCTTTCTGACTGCTGTCTCATCTCGCTCCCATCTCGCCAGCCTTAGCAGCTTTCCCCTGCCGCTCTATCGCCTGCCCCCTCTATTCCTCTCTGCACTCTCTCTGTCCTATCCGCCCTACAAATGCTCTCTCGCCGGTCCCATGCCTACCCTACCCGCCTCTCTAACCACTGCCCTCTGCGGCGGTGACCTGCCCAAGATCGACCACGAGCCGTGCGCGCAGTTTGAGCGTCTGCGGCTGCTTGCTCTCGCCAGTGACGATTGTGTTTGTGTAGCTGTAGTGGAGTAGCAGGGCAGCGGAGCAGCGGCCGCCGCCGGCAGACGGCAGGGGTGTGACGGGCACACGGAGAGCCACCTTGTTGGCCTGGCGCCACACGACGACGCTGGGGGAGCGGAGGGGGGGGGGTGTTATAGGGTGACACGGAGAGCCACCTTGTTGGCCTGGCGCCACACCACCACACTGGGGGGAGCGGGGGGGGGGGTGTTATAGGGGGACACGGAGAGCCACCTTGTTGTTGGCCTGACGCCACACCACCACACTGGGGGAGCGGAGGGGGGGGGGTGTTATAGGGGGACACGGAGAGCCACCTTGTTGGCCTGGCGCCACACGACGACGCTGAGGGGTGTGTGTGTGTGTGTGTGTGTGTGTGTGTGTGTGTGTGTGTGTGTGTGTGTGTGTGTGTGTGTGTGTGTGTGTTATAAGGTGACTCTGAGACACCACCACACTGGGGGAGTGGAGGGGGTGTTATAGGGGGGGGGGGGGACTCGACGGACCCAGTTAGCCTGCCACCACACCAACGCACTGGGGGAGGAGAATTAGAGGAGATTTATCCGAGGCCATTATATCTCAGATCTCAGACAACAAAAAATGTATCGAAGGCCTCGAATTACCTACAGTGAGTATCCTAACTAGCCTGAAATATTCGTTAACCCTCGCACCGACGGGGGGGGGGCGGATATCCGCCCCCCCCTGAGGTTTTTCGCGAATAGCGGGAAAACCGCGGCGCGTAGCGCCGCGAAATTTGATATGACTATAACCTCATCAATTTTACACATGGTGTGCAAGTTTGAACCTCCTACCTTTTAAGGTCAGGTCACCAGGTCACTTTGAATGACCCAACCTCAAGTCACTTTTTTGCAACTTTGTCACCGTGCCAGAGCTACAGTAGATGTCGGAGGCCTTTGAAAGTCGCAGGATATTATTAGGTCATTAGTAGCTACAATTTGTATATCTCGGAATTTTGATATCGATGACCTAAGGTCAGGTCAATTTCGCGACCTCCCCATTACATAAGTCAATGGCTCTTTTTGACCCAATGTAACCTGAGATCAGCCTAACATGAGATCAGCCTAACCTAAGATCAGCCCTGAACAAGACGACCTCCTATATTATAGCCTCCCTGACCTCCCGAGACAGCCTGCAGATCTGTATGATACCTCTGATCGGCAGTGATCTGAGCGTCCCTGATCTAGACGACGCTTCTGACCGCTCTGACCCCCACGATATCCTTAATTGACCTGACGTGGGGTCATCCCGGAACTATGTATGGCACCACATGGCCCAAATACGGCCGTAAATGACCTCTCTGACCCCGCACGAGAGCCTCAGATGACCTCTGACCTGGGGTCGTCTCGGAACTCGGAGGAGCTCGGTGCGTCGTCAAACTCGGCCGAGTCGTCCCGGGGCGCCAGCACCACCTCGGCGGCGGGCAGCGTGAGCTCAGCAGTCTGCTGAATGTCCGGCTCCACTCTGGAGAGAGGGCAACAGAGGTCAATAGAGGTCAATAGGGGTCAACAGGAGTCAGCGGAGGGCAGCGTGAGCTCAGCAGTCTGCTGGATGTCCGGCTCCACTCTGAGGGGAGGTCAACAGAGGTCAACAGAGGTCAATAGAGGTCAAAAGGGGTAAACAGGGGTCAAAAGGGGTCAATAGAGTTCAGTGAAGGTCAACAGGCGCAAACATAGTATCAACAGAGGTCAGTGGAGGTCAGGCATAGGTCAACAGAAGTCATCATAGGTCAGTGGATGTCAACAGAGGTCTACGGAGATCAGTAGATTTCAACAGAGGTATACAGAGCTCAGCGGGCGCGGAGGGCAGAATGGGCTAGTCAGTCTGCTGAACGCGCGGCTCCACCCTGCAGCGAAGGTCAGAGTTCCGTAAACCGTGTGAATTCTCACCTCTACGGCGTGAACGGTCTCAGCAGAGAACCATGTGAATTCTCACCTCTACGGCGTGAACGGTCTCAGCAGAGAACCATGTGAATTCTCACCTTTGCAGTGTGACTGGTCTCAGCAGAGAACTGTGTGGATTCTCACCTCTGCAGTGTGACTGGTCTCAGCAGAGAACTGTGTGGATTCTCACCCCTGCAGTGTCATTGGTCTCAGCAAAGAACTCTCCTTGTGCTCACGGTCCGGGTTCTCGCCTCTGTAGTATCGCAAGTCTCAGCAGAGAACTGTGTGAGTACTTACCTCTGTAAGGTAACCATTCAGGCTCAACAGAGAGCTGTGCGGGTTCTCACCTCTGCAGTGTGACTGGTCTCAGCATAGAACTCTCCTTGTGTTTGGGGTCCAGGTTCTCACCTCTGTAGTATCGCAAGTCTCAGCAGAGAACTGTGTGGGTTCTCAGTTCTCACCTCTGCAGGGTGACTGGTCTCAGCAGAGAACTCTCCTTCTGCTCCGGATCGCGGTTCTCACCTCTGCAGTGTCACTGATCTCAGCAGAGAGCTGTGTGGATTCTCACCTCTGCAGTGTGACTGGTCTCAGCAGAGAACTCTCCTTGTGCTCGGGATCAGGGTTCTCCTGCAGTTCCTCCTCGTCCGGCTCACGGTACTTCTCCAGACGAATTGTCATCTGACGGAGTGATGACACGGAGTCAGTGTCATTTTCAGTGACATCTGACACTTGACGAAGACACAACGGTAAGGCTAGGCACCGCTTTAGTACCTATAATTTATCCATTATCATCATTCTTACGCAAGAACACAAATACTTTTCACTTAGCACACGCGGTGATGCAGCTGCTAAGGGTCATTGTTCGATTCATTATTGAGGTGCTAATGACCTTAGTTGATGAATAACACATAGGTACATAGGATGCTGACAGCTCAATCCTTACTGGGTATATGGCGGGGTTGCTGAGAGTCAGCACTAGGTTAGATTGCCGACTGTTGAATTCTTACCGGGTAGATGGTGGGGTTGCTGAGAGTCAGCACTATGCTAGGTTGCCGACTGTTGAATTCTTACCGGGTAGATGGTGGGGTCGCTGAAGGTCAGCACTAGGTTAGATTGCTGACTACTGAATTCTCACCGGGTTGATGGTGGGGTTGCTGAGAGTCAGCACTGGGTTAGATTGCCGACTACTGAATTCTTACCGGGTAGATGGTGGGGTTGCTGAAGGTCAGCACGGTCTCAGTCTGCTGTCCGACCAGCAGCTCGCCGACAGACAGAATCTTCACGTCCGGCACGTGGTAGCTGGGGGCAGAAAAAAGGTCAGAGCTCAGAGGTCGGCTGTCGGCCGGATTAAGTCTGAGGTCACGTGGGGTCAGTGTAGTTCGACGAGCCTATCCGAATTCGTTTGCACTTCGAGATCTACGTCGGAAACTGAAGTGAAATCAAAGAATCAAATTTAGATCCTAGAAATGTGTTTGGCCCGAAGATATTTATTTCCACAGGAAACTAAGAGATAGCACAGAGCATATCATCCGAAACCAGGACTGCTACCCACTAGGCGTTGAGCTGGATCCTGAACTTGATGCTGATGCAGCTGTACTCTGGCTTGCTGAGGTTGTGGTCGCAATACCGGCAGCGCATGGAGCGCTTCATTTCGGCGTGCTTGTGCTGCGGCTGGAGACGATCCTGGCGCTCAGTCTGCAGCTCCGGGAACGCCAGACGCTGGTCCAGCGTCGTCACTGGGGAAACAGGCAGACATTACTGCCGGGGGGACGACAGACGCTGGTCCAGCGTCGTCACTGGGGGGACAGATAGACAGAGAGACAGACATTACTACTGGGGGAGAGACAGACAGACAGACATTACTACCGGGGGAACGCCAGACGCTGGTCCAGCGTCGTCACTGGGGAACAGATAGACGTCAGTAGGGGAACTTATAGACAGACAGATACACATCACTGGGGGAACGCCAGCCGCTGGTCCAGCGTCGTCACTGGGGAAACAGGCAGACATTACTGCCGGGGGAACGCCAGACGCTGGGCTAGCGTCGTCACTGGGGGAGGAATACGGGTGTGTTGTTACCGGTTGTTACAGAGACAGACACGTCAATTCAATGGTGACAGTAAATACTGAATGACTCTGGGATGAATCGACTTGGGTATTGAGATCACAAGACACAGAAATGCAATATCTTAAAAAATACACATAAGAAAGTCATACGCATTAATAGAAATACCTATGTACGTTAAGTACGTATCAATAATAATATCACGATTTCTACCAAACACTTAAATTAGCGTCGAGACTGATAACAACCATCGTAAAGTGTCTACGATTTTTACTACGTGAATTCAGCTACGTTTGTAGCGGGATAGTTGTCGTGTCTCTCACCAGATGTCAGCACTAGCGGCTCGGTGAAGGCCGACTCCGGCAGCGCGTCATCGGCCTCGTCAAAGGGCTGCGCCGCCATCTCCTTCAGGCTTTTGGCGTCCAGGTCCTGGGGGATGGGAGGGAGCGGTTATTGTACTCGTAGGCTCAGTGGAAGAGACGGCTCTGCCATCTACGTCAGGCTTTTAGCGTCCAAGTCCTGGGGGAGGAGGAGGGGTTATTGTACTCGTAGGCTCAGTGGAAGAGACGGCTCTGCCATCTACGTCAGGCTTTTAGCGTCCAAGTCCTGGGGGAGGAGGAGGGGTTATTGTACTCGTAGGCTCAGTGGAAGAGACGGCTCTGCCATCTCCGTCAGGCTTTTGGCGTCCAGGTCCTGGTATGGTCACAATATGGGTGAGTGAAAGATGGACAAGACAAAGTTATCAATACTATCTTCACACACCATGCCATTTTCGCTTGATATATCATACCAGTAGCAAGTAGCAGCATCCATTCCTATTAACAGATTTAAACAGCTCAGGACCCATCTCTAGGACCAACTCCGAGCAGCCGGACCCTAGCACAGGAGGAAGCCCCATCATACAGCAAGCTGTTGTACAGCGCCTCCATTCCCTTAAACCAGCCTCAGTAGGTTGTCAGAGCCAAACCCTTCATCTGCTCCCCCCCCCCCCCCCGTACGTAGCTCTGTTGTCACGTATAATGCAGCCAGGCCCAGGACACTAAGCACTTTGGTCGAATCGTCCCACCCACACCCCCAGACCCCAAGCAGCTCTCCTGTCACGGTATAACGCAGCCCGGCCCCGGTCACTTTGGAGTCGTCCCACCCACACTCACCTTGGCGGTAACCAGGGAGCGGGACGGCGGCAGGCCGGCCTGTTTGCGGGTGGCGCGCGCCATCGCGCCAAACTTGCCCTTACCCTCCAGAAAACGGCGCGTCCTGATGGGGAAAAGAGAGCGAGGAGCGTCATACAGCAGGCTTTATGGAGCAACATGAGGTGATGAGCACACCACAGAGAAGCATGAAGTGCATTACATTCCCTCACCTCCATCCTGACCAGCTTATTCAAAGAATTTAGCTCCAGGCAGTACCTGCCTGCCAAGTGACTTACAGTCTATCGTCTTGTCTATCTATACGACGTCTCTATATGACGTCTATCGTCTACCATCACAGTACCAGACTTCCTGGCATTTGTAGGATATCATCCCCTCCCCACCCCCACTCACACTCACTTATCCTGCCGGCCGTATTTGGTATTTGCCCTGCTCCACCGCAGACCGCTCCAGTCGCCCTTCCTCCCCCCCCCCCACTCACACTCACTTATCCTGCCGGCCGTATTTGCCCTGCTCCGCCGCGGACCCGGCTCCAGTCCTCCCCCTCCCGGTCCCACTCACTTATCCTGCCGGCCCGTATTTGCCCTTCTCCCTCTAGCACCGCTCAAGCCCCCCCCCCCCCCCCCCCCCAACTCACTTATCCTGCCGGCCGTATTTGCCCTGCCCCCCCCCCCCCCACCACTCACTTATCCTGCCGGACGTATTTGCCCTGTTCTTCCCCCCTCGGACCGCTCCAGTCCTACCCCCCCCCCCCCACTCACTTATCCTGCCGGCCGCATTTGCCCTGCTCGGCCGCAGACCGCTCCGGTCCCCCTGCTCCCCCAACTCACTTATCCTGCCGGCCGTATTTGCCCTGCTCCGCCGCGGATCGTTCCAGCACGGCCAGCGCCCGGTAGTTGTCGGAGAGGGTCGTCAGCCGCTCCGAGTCGGGGTTCTCAAACTCCGTCCACGTGCCAGACGCTGCCGCAAAACAAACGTCGCACCTCAGAACATACAGGAGTCAGTGCAACTTTGCGCAATAACGCAAGGTATTCTTCGAGGGTTACTTCACAAGTTATGATCACAAACAGCACACTGCTTACATATAAATTCTCGAGCTTATCTTCCCACTTTTGGAGCTTGTTTCCACTAACGTTCCAGTTCGTTCTCTCACCATAATTAGCCGAACGTGCCCAGGCACCTCATGTATGATTTTATAGATGATTTGTGGATGAGGATTGAGATGCTTAGCAGGGTGCTGACAAACTGGCCAAATGCTGACAGACCTTGACGCATGTCTATTATAATCAATATCGCAAATTGGTGCGATAGCTCACCCCGGCGGCCGCCTGATCTGCTGGCTACCAGAGTTTTATTACAATATCGGCGATTATATGCTTCGGTATCGACCGACGACGATCAGATAGCGACAAACGTGCTCCGCAATTAAATGACGTCCTGGAGTAATACTGACCGACATTCTGACTAACAATACAGACATTCTGGTGAGCTAATGACCGACATTCTGACTATAATACTGACGATCTAATGAGCTAATGACCGACGTTCTGACTATAATACTGACATTCTAGTGAGCTACTGACCGACGTTCTGACTAACAATACTGACATTCTAGTGCGATACTGACCGACATTCTGACTATAATACCGACGATCTAGTGAGCTACTGATCAACGTTCTAACAATACTGACATTCTAGTGCAATACTGACCGGCGTTCTGCCTGACAATACTGACATTCTAGTGAGCTACTGACCGACATTCTGACTATAATACCGACGATCTAGTGAGCTGCTGACCGACGTTCTGACTATAATACTGACGATCTAGTGAACTAATGACCGACGTTCTGACTATAATACTGACATTCTAGTGAGCTACTGACCGACGTTCTGACTAACAATACTGACATTCTAGTGCGATACTGACCGACATTCTGACTATAATACCGACGATCTAGTGAGCTACTGATCAACGTTCTAACAATACTGACATTCTAGTGAGCTACTGACCGACGTGCTGACTGACTATACTGACATTCTAGTGGGCTACTGACCAACGGTCTGACAATAATACTGACATTCTAGTGAGCTACTGACCAACATTCTGACAAACAATACAGACATTCTAGTGAGCTACTGACCGACGTTCTGGTCGGGCAGCTTGCTGTCGCGCGATGTCCAGCGACAGAACCCGCAGGCCACGTAGTAGACCTTCCTGGGCACGATCTTGGTCGGATCCTCCATACTTGGGGCCTGGGGAACAGAACGTATTCTGTGAATGCATCAGTGATGATAGGCTAGGAAATATTGCTACTCAATGGGCGCTCCAGTGAATTTAACTACACATACAAAAATAAAAATAATATCGATTTGATGTAATGGCTACTTTCATTCCATTCATTGATTGTTCATGCAAGTCATCTCCTCTGTTGTTTAGCCTCATAGTCAATGATGCCAACTATTTGCATCATTTGAAATGTCTGATAGGTCAGCTTCATTTACTCTTATCAGGAAGTTTCTTCTTCAGCTTGTATAAAATAAAAATGGAAAAAACAAAAAACGGTGCGTTGCTTAGGCTAGAAAAAAACTTACTTTCATGAGGTCTGGTCAGAATAGCAATCTAAAAGTTATCTGCAGTGCCATTTGCTGAGCAGTGACAGTGATCAGTGGCATGAGATAAGTCATTCTTCTTTTCATGAAATTCTGTGGTATACATTGTATTTTTCAGAGGAATGAATACAACTGTTTCTACAACTTGCCATCAACTTATGGTCCCTGATTAGTGATCACACAGTTCAGCTCTACTTTTAACTTTGAGGCTGATGTGCAAAGGGGGACGACGGTGAAAACAGGGCGCCTGGGGCGATTTGATCAAGGATCATGAAATTCACACGTGACATTTAGCATGTAGAAGGCCCACGGAGGGGGACAAGTTAAAAATGTCACATGACTAATATGCCCTCCGGCGCCCTGTTTTCACGGGCGTCCGCAAAGGGCAATTTTCACAAAGTAGAAAACTGCTGAATGAGCAGCTGACTACCAATGACCCTGGTAAGAATCTCAGTTAGGTCAGTTGGGCAAACTAGACCTTTGGAATCAAAATATGGAGGCATCAAAAGATTGATTCCTTTTGGGCATAAATGCAGACCATTTCTAACTTACCAATCACATAAAAATAAGAGAGTGTTTCAAGAAGGAGCATGCCTGATCTTGAACAGAAATGCTTGAACTATCTCCTAAGCAAAATAATATTGCTCCTTTCATAACAATTTGAATTCTATAGGTAGTGAAAGACAATCAAGGAATTGATTCACTTTAAACAGATAATCATAATATTGATTCCCCATCAGCTGGCTAATCATTATTTTGATTCACAGGTAATGTTAACAGATAGGCAACAATGACTTGCAAGAATACAGCATTTATCTTGCTATTATTCTCATTTAGTGATATCCTCAGCACCACAACTGATACCTATAGCATTGTTGTACTTTACCTTCACTACATTTGATAACAATTCACAATTTTTAAATGTCAAGAATACAAAAACTGAAGCAACAGGTAAAAACCATATAAATAATATAAAAGCACTACAACAATGATAATTAGGGGTTTAAAAATTTCATTTTGCCATTTTACACAAATGCTGATTGGTTAGTATGTGATTCATGATACACAAATAACATACAGTGTGATTTCCTCAAAACAGCTTTTACGTGATGGACAGTGGCTCTGTCTTTTTCCCATTCACAAGGCCAAAGGGACAATTTCTTAGCTTTGAGGTAACACTTTTTGCAAACCTACCACATTTTTCTGCCTTTTAAAAGAAAAATCTCACCGTCATGGGCCTTTTTTCAACCGTAACGATTCATTTGAAGTCAAAAGTGTACCCAAATGAATCAAAAAATTGATTCCATGCCCATATTTGGTCATGGCTCCTCCCACCAGAATCAAATTATTGATGCCTCCATATTTTGATTCCAAAAGTCTAGTTTGCCCAACTGAGGTAGGTAATCAAACTTTCAGCTGGCTTAGAAGTTCCGTTCGGGCATGCTGCTACGTTCCACACCTGGATGCTGGTGGCCCTGGTGGAGAGGGTGTGGCCACAGGAGGGGCAGTCCTTGCATGTGGAGCAGCGGTTCTTTTTCAGCCCCGCCTCCACATTGGACATCATCTCCAAGCAGCCACTGCAGTACGTCGAGTCCATCTGCGGAAGAATGCAAGACACAGGCTGATGCCAATGCTCATAATCTAAGCTCGTGGGTATATGCAATAAATCTGTGCGAAGTGAACCTGTCATCCGTTCACACACCAACATCAACAATTTAGATAAATTACCTCCTGCGAGACGCAGTTTCCACATCTTATCTTCTGGCAGTGCCGACAGAAATAAACTCGGTAAATTGGCTTCAAAAAGCCGCAAGAACATAAGTACTTTACACGTTCAGAAAGAAACGCTTCTTGGACGTTTGCTCGTTCCATGTTTGAGTCTTCAAAGCCACAACAAATCACAGAAAAATAACAAATTGCAATCTATATTCACCGCGCCCCACCCCACACACAATATTAGCCAGCAGGCAAAGAGGATTTGTATATGTTTTAGGGCCTTGGTTTTAGGGCCTTGGATTTGTACATATATGGCGCAGAGGTTTCAATCAGGATGTTTGTGCTAAAACGCAGACACTTTTAATATTTTTTAGTCCGTATAAAACTATTAAAACGAATTCTGATTTTTAATATATTTTAGTAGAAATCATTACATTTTTCATGTGAGCCAGTACCTTCATTCCAAGAAAAATGTCAAGCAGTAGATTTTTGAAAGAACTGAACTGAGCTACTTGATTTGCAGCATCAGTTCCTGTCTTATGAAATCGGATTTTAGTAGGAAAGGAATGGATCGAGAAGAGACAGAAATGTGTTCAAAATCATATTTTAAACACAACTTTCAATGTAACATATACAAATCTAAATCCAAAAGGAATGCATAGGCACAAAGAATACACAATTCATATTTCATCCATTCCTGGTAGGTGGTGCTGATAGCAACACCTTTTCTCTATAGATGTCGCTGTCGTTACCTTCTCTGACCGATCGATGTGGCCGGCTCAGCTGCCGCCGGCCAGCCGACGGCGGCGACTCGTTCTGTTTACGCCTGAGGCAGTCGCGGTCCATGTGGTCGCCGGGAGGGTGGAGGTCGGCGGGTCGTCGGTCGGACGTGGTGTGACCGGTGTTTGAGAGTGACAGCGAGAGGGGTATATCGGTGTGACAACTGACAAACGAGTGTGGATTGACTGAGCCAGTGACTAACATGGAGAGAAGCCTATCACACGTGGGTTTGTTGTGGCCTGCAGTCCAGTGAAACCACCAGCGGAGCTGGGTGATTGACAAATGACCGAAGGCACTGTTTGAACGATCTTGGCCTTTGCCATTTGTTGATTGGGTGCTCGGGACTTAACGGCACGCCGTACGGTCTCTGGGGTGAATGAGTGTCACCTGACAGCGACGTTAGCCTGACCCGTGTCAGATGACAGAGATGATGACTGCGGCGGAATGATGACAGCAGCACGTCATCGGTGACCGACATCTCCACCCGGTGCACTCTGACATTTCCCCGAGAGGGCAGCCGAGGCAGCACTGCCCCCAGGTCGTGTCCCGTTACACGCGGTACCCGGTGTCTACAGTTACACGGTCCTGTGGAAGCCTCAGCTGTAGCCGATGACGACCAAGGAGATCGTACTGGAGGGCGGGCCGCCGTGGGGCTTCCGGATGCACGGGGACGGCGCGGCCGGAACGCCCTTCCGGATATCTCGGGTGAGTGGGGAGAGAAGGGGAATACGGGAAGAGTGAAGGGAGGGGAGCGGAGGGAGAGGGAGAGAGAGAGAGAGAGAGAGAGAGGGAGAGAGAGAGAGAGAGAGAGAGAGAGAGAGAGAGAGAGAGAGAGAGAGAGAGAGAGAGAGAGAGAGAGAGAGAGAGAGAGAGAGAGAGAGAAAGAGAGAGAGAGAGGTGTTTGAACCTGGCTAAGTGTTATGTGTACGATTGCAGTTCAAATATCTATTTTATATCATCGCAGATTGGGATCCTGTATTGGTGGGCAGTTTACGTCAAATTCAGTTACCTTAGTTTGGTTTAGTTTAGATTAGCTTCGTTTATTGAAAAAGAAAACAGTAACGGCATTGGCTCCCAATGATGGGCGCAGTGAAATATAAAACGTAAATGTAAATATGAAGGTCCGTGCATTTAAGTGCTCGATAACTTAAATTTTACCGAGGCTCGTTTTCTGTGTTTCCTACTCATCAGATGTTTCTAGTGGGTTTACATGCAGACACCCGACATAACTCTCCCCGCCGCTTAGACTGTTTTATTAGTCTCAAATCACGTCTCTCTTTCATCCCGTTCACGGCTGCGCGGTACTGACCGCCACGGCCCGAGATCAGAGACGATGAGCCGTAGTCCCGGTCTGGCCGACTCGTCTCGGTCAGGGACCGGTAACTGTTTCCAGATGGAGGTCTGGGAGTAGTCACGTCTGTCTGTCTGCCAGGGTGGTGGTGGACGGAGGGGGGGGGGGGTAGAGGAGGGGGGAGGGGCGCACAATGTCAGGTGTATCACTGCAGTCCTAGTCGCGGCAGGGCACTGGACAGTGGACGTTGTGTCGTTTGGAACTAATGGTGGCGGTGATTTGTGATCTTCAGTAGATTAAATCCACTCTGCTCTTCATCCTTCGACCATTGCAATTGGTTAGTCTGTCTGTTCGTCTGTCCGTTCGTCAATCTGTTCGCCTGCCCGTCTGTCCATACCGTCTGTCCCGTCCGTCTGTCCGTCTGTCTGCCTGTCTGTCTGTCCGTCCGTTCCGTTCTGTCAGCCTACGGACAGACAGAAGAGTGAAGTAAAATGTAAACGTTATCCGTCCGTCTACCGTCCGTCCCTCTGACCATTTCTCAGACTACCCGTCTGCCCGTCTTTTCAAGAAACCAACACATGTGACAATTCAGATAAACTTAAAAATAACACGACTGATCTCAGTGTAGATTTACATCAAACCCTTTTCGTGTGTCTATGAACGATATAAAAACCGTGGTTCTATTAAAGTTGATAAGGCCACTGGGCAGCATGTCTGGTTCTTTACTTGATGTATTTACCTACTGGTTCTTTACATGATTTAGTTTCTGCCGAAACACGTACATCATTGATGCGAACAAGCGGACGACACGAAAGTGGCCTAGTGTAGGCTCAACTTAGCTGAAGTTTAGTCAACCTGCAAACGCACCGTCTCGTAAATATGGAAAAGTAAAAGTCTGGACGGAAGTTTTCAGTTTATGGCTGCCGGTTTCATATTTCCTACGTTGACATGGTGAGTTATTGCAATAGTGTTGCGAGTCTTGTGCGACCTTATGCAAGTCCTTGAGTCTCTAAGCCTATGAGCCTGTGAAATTATGAGCATACAGGCATTGTGAGCGTGTGGGTCTGTGGTCCTGTGAAACTCATGTGCCCTGTGGGCCTCACGTTATCCCATGAGTTTCATGTGAGTCTGTGAGTCTCATGTCACCCTGCGAGTCCCGCGTCATCCTGTGAGCCTGTGAGCTGTGAGTCTATGGGTTCCGGCCCATCCCCGCGGCCCGCTCCACCACCATCCCGCCGATAACCGGCCGACCAATCGATACTGCAGATGATTGGTGGACCCAGGGGTAGCCAGTAACAGTTGGTAGCATTAGGCCAAATGGGCGCTCAAAAACTACTACCCCATAGGGTTTCCATGTTAAATCGACCTTTTTCAAGCGAGCCTCACACGTAAGCTAAAAGATAAAGTGCCAATATTATTGTGGGGAAAGGTAGCTTCAAGCCTCCTCTACAACCTTTTTATCTAGCGTTTTTCGATGCGGAGGCCATAACAGGTCCAAAAAGCATTGGGCGCTGCCCGAGGTACCAAAAGCCCCTCCATGAGAGCACAAGTTCCTGCGCATGCGCACATTGCCTCAACCCTGTACTGGCGTACATTAGTGATACTGCTCACGGACCCGGTCAACCAATCAGCGTCCCCGATTACATTAATAAATGTCGCTAGCATTACGTAAATCCTGCTTGCGAACACGTTTTAAGAATGAAACAGCTGCGCCATTTCCGCCTTCCATTGATTCCTTCCATCTTAGTATCAACTATACGCTTTTCAACTATTTTTAGACTAAGTTTTAAACTATGGTCAGTATGTTATTTCTGGTACATATATTTAAAAAATAACTGCTTTATGAATTTGGTTTTACTCGTCAGAATAGAATACTCTATTTTTTTCCATATTCAAAAAATATATCACCTACCATGTAACTCATCCAGGTAAAATGGGCGCTTTCCGCGTCGTTGGTGTACCCGTTGTTCTATATACCCTGGGTGGACCGCCCGGGCAGCTGTGACCTGATTGGTCCAGCCGCGGCCGGGGAAATCAGCCGCCGGCTGTCAAATAGGGCAGCGTTTTAGCACCTCTTGGTGGAATGAGGACGGAAAATGTGATAATGGTCAATGACATGTGAAATAACTGAAATGTGTGATTGATAGGCATGTAGGAAACTTTTTGCAAGTATTTTCTAAAACAAGCAATAAATCAAACTTTGATTTGTTTTACATACTCGTTTTACTTGTCATAGGTGCTCGTTGATGGGTACCCTATCTATTTTTTTATGTTAACTTGTTCCATGAAATCAACAAAAATAAATTAACACTCGTTTCGTAAATGAAACGATTCAGTTTTCTCAAATCAACACGACATAATTAACTCGTGCCCGGGAATGATATGTGCAAAATGAGTATGAGTATGAGTATGAGTTTATTGTAGAGACCATCCACGCAGTGGCTATTCTGATCTCACGTCAGATGATACATTACTAAAACACAGGATTAACCCGCGCCCTGCTGGGGGTCCTGGATTTCCACGCCCTGCTGGGGGGGGGGGTGTTTGAACACCCCCCCCCTTGTAACTCGGCTCCTGGGCCACGTAGCGATACGCGGAAGGCGGCGTTCGAAAGAGCGTAAAAAATAATGACGAAATCACTTCGGTCAATTTTTTGGTCAGGTCAAAGGTCAGGTCACCAGAGGTCATTGAAGGCAAAATTTCGCCGATTTCCAGGTCGAATGTCGAAAATTTCCAAGAAGCCAACGCATAACTCGGGAACCAATAGAGCTACAGCGCCGCGGAAAAGCGCATTCGATAGCCCTATTAACGCCCTTTCTGAGTAATTCTCTCAGATTTGACCTAAGGTCAACGGTTTTGCCTGCAGGGGGCAAAAACTGCAAAAATAGCCGATATTTTCGAAAACAGTTTTTCTGCAATAACTTTTGACCCAAGCCTTGTACGAGCTTACTTTTACCGGCATCGTGTTCCTCTCGTCAAGACGCATCGAATGAACTATAACTTGACCTTGAAAGTTCAACTTGAAAATTTGACCTCAGGTCAAGGTCATGACCTGACCGGAAAGGGTCATGTTGCATATCAGTCGATTCGTATCGTCGAGCAGAACACATCTAAGGCGTTTTCATCGCTCTAGCATGCCTCTATCAAAAGTTATTTGCGAAAAACTGTTAGATACCATTCGTGACCTAAGATGACCTCAGGGCATAAACAAGGGTCACGGACACCATTTCCAAGTTCAGTGTGTCTAAACCACTTGTAATTCGGTGTTTGGGAGTGTGTATAATGTCTTTCATCCAAAAGAGGCGCATTTCAATTTTCTCCCATTGACTTATAATGGGGAGGTCGCAAAATTGACCTGACCTTAGGTCATCGATATCAAAATTCTGAGATATACATTTTGTACATGCTATTGCTCTTAGCAATCGCTGAAAGTTTCAAAGCGATCGGTCACTCGGTGTAGCTATGACAGACATTGAAAGTTTTTATGAGGTGAGGTCACTTCAAGTGACCTGGTGACCTGACCTTGAATGACCTTGGTCTGAAATTTTCACAACATGTGTAGAATTGATGTATGATAAGGTGTACCAAAAACGGCGGCGCTCCGCGCCGCCGTTTTTGAGATATTCGCGAAAAACCACAAGGGGGGGTGTTCAAACACCCCCCCCAGCAGGGCGCGGGTTAAAACACATACCTAAAACACCAGGCCATTACATTTTAAAAGTAAAGTAAATTAAGCAGTAGGCAAACACTATAAACACGTTAAACACCAGATAAAAGAAGAAAAGCTCTTAGTAATCTTGTCTCATATTTTGTTTATGGAAGGGGTGTTTCCTCGGTGCGCCATTTTTCGAACATCATCTCAACCTCTCACTATCCGATCTTTGATGTGTCTTCCTGCCTGGTGCGTCTGCGGCTGCGTCTGCCATCTCTATCTACCGTCAACACTGCGTCTCTGTTTTCTATCTGTCGGTGCGTGCCAACATCTCGGCAGTGGTACTGGTGCCCTCGTCACCCTCAGCCCCCCCCCCCCAGGCCGCCCCCCCCCCCCGAGGTCGCCGGGCTGCCGAAATAGCCCCGGGGCGTACGAGTGACCTCGATCGGCTGGCACTCGGCTGTCACTGCCCCCAGGCGTCAGGGGCGGCGGTGCCCTCTTTGAAGTCGTTTGGCGGGCGGTTTTGTCGGGCGCGACAAACGGGAATTTGGAGCAGCCGGTGATTGATGAATGTTCTGAGTGATGAGGTGTGAAGGCCTATATAGCGGACGAGGGCTTGAAATGTGGAATGTGATTTTTTCTTTATAGAATCGAGGTATTGTATTTTAGCCCATACCTACGTCTGTGCTGCAGAAACTATGTTTGACCACAACAAAGTGTTAGAACAGGAATAAAGTAAAAGGACCGGAATGACATTGGAAC